ATTTACATCTATAATTCTAACTACCCAGGAGGCTAAGATCTGAGGATCTCAGTTTGAAATCAGCCTGGAAAGAAATTTCATGAGACTCTTATCTCCAATTGACCAGCAGCACACACACACACACACACACACACACACACACACACACACACACACATACATATCCAGGAAGCCATGTGAGCTATGAGACTCAACCTTAGATGAGAAGTTGAGACTGGAGCTATGAACTCTCTAACTCTGGCTCATGATATGTAGATGATTATATCTGCTGCAAGAGTAAATGAATCTCTGGGGCACTTAGAGAGACAAAGAGGCCTTATTGCTGATGGGCTCTTGTGAAAAGGAGAGCCATTTAAGAAAATAGAGGAGACCAACTTTGTAGAAGGTCTACAAAGAACAGGACTGGTAGGCTTGACTTCCAAGATCTACATGACCTCTTCTTTCCTCATACATCTTTGTCATACTCTAACACAAAAGCAGTGCTACTAAATCATTTAGTCTCATTTTTGACATGTTATTTTTAGATTGTAACATCTGCATGCATCTTTTGACTACCAGTACAAGTGCTGTTTATGAATTAGTTAAGTATTTTTAATTACCTTTAAGTAGTTGTACAAAGGAGGAGGTGCCACGTAACAAAGCAATTTATGAATACAATGCATCTTAATCAGTGTCACTCCTTCAATGTTCTCATCCCCCTCCATGCATCCCTTTGCTTACTTTTCTTAGTTTTATGGTATATACAATGAATTCTTGACTGCATTCTCTCCCCTTCCTCCTTCATTCATCTTTCCCTCTTCCTTTGGCCCTACCCCAACTCTTGGATGTACCCATTTCCTGGTGTTGATTTTGTTGGGCTTTGACCTAGTTTTTCTAAAAGATTATACTATTTAAGCTCTTCATAGAGTCTATTATACTTCAGTTAATTTATGTATAACCACTTGTATACCACCCAGTGTGTTTACTTATAATTTTATAGGTACATTCTAGCTAGCACAAATAAGAGAAAACATTCAACTTTTTTTGTTTATTTATTTTTTGGTTGGTTGTGGGGCTTGAATTCTGGGCTTGGTCGCTGTCCCTGCGCTCTTCAGCTCAAGGTGAGGGCTCTACCGCTTGAGCCACAGCACCACTTCCTGTTTTCTAGTGGTTTATTGGAGATAAGAGTCTCACGGACTTTCCTGCCTGGGCTGGCTTTGAACTGCAATCCTCAGATCTCAGCCTCCTGAGTAGCTAGGATTACAGGCGTGAGCCACCGGCTCCCAGCTTAACTTGTTTTTTTGCCAACAAGAAACTTATCATAGGACAGTTGTCTACCTGGAAAATGCATCTGATAGACAGATAACTAGCTCCCTCTTGTATGGCTTTCTACCTGCAGAAATCTCTCTGGTTCAGCTGGATAGCATGAGCCTTTCCCACCAAATGTTAGTGAGATGCGCTGCAATTGTTGGCCTGACCTTCACTACAGAGTTGTTGTTTGAGATTCTCCCCTGTTGGAATATGAAGATGATGATCAAGGCCTTGGCTACCCTAGTGGAATCAAACATTTTTTATTGTTTCCGGAATAGCAAAGATCTTCGATTGGCTCTGAAAGCTAATGTGGCCTCATTTGAGGTGCATTATCGCTCCTTGTCTCTGAAGCCCAGGGATAGTTTGGGTAAGTAGCTCCTGGAATTTCCTTTAGTTAAGGTAACATCTAGATTAAAGAACTGGTCTGTCCTGGGTAGCAGGTGCTGATTTGCTGCCACTGCCTGGCTGAAAAGCCCTTCATGTTCCCTTTAGCTCGTGGTGAACAAGAAGAGCTCCGTGAAATGGAAGGTGAAGTGATCGAGTGTCACATCATTAGATTCTGCAGGCCTATGATGCAGAAAACAGCCTATGAGCTGTGGCTCAAGGACCAGAAGATAGCCATGCATTTGAAATGTGCCCGCTTTTTAGAAGAAAATGCTCATCGGTGCGACCACTGCAGAAGCAGGGACTTTATTCCCTATCACCACTTCACAGTGGACATTCGGCTCAATACTTTGGATATGGAAACCATTAAGAAGATGGCTAAATCTCATGGATTTCAAAGTAAATATACCTCATTCCTAATGAATCCTAAGTGCTCCTGGGAATTAGGGACACTAAGATCTAGAAAACATAGGTCTGGATATTTAGGACTTCAAGTTCACTGAGGGCTCAGGCACAGAGAATAATGAGACTTCACCAACATAGACCCACAAGGAAGGGAAGAGAGGTACATACAGCTCAGTCTAGCAGGGCCAGTCTCACCATGAGCCTGTCATAGAGAATTTAAGGACAAGGGACTTTAGCAAAGTAGAATATAACCAAGCTTAAATTAATTTACATCAAGGGATGGAATCCAAGAAGGTGGTAGGGGAAGTGATATCTGATATGGTAAAGGGAGAGATTGGTCTGGATTCAAACAGGTTCCAGTGGAAAAACACCATGAGTAGGGGAGAATTAGCAAGGGCGAGAAGGCTCCTGAAAAAGAGAGCTTGGGTTTAAGGCAAGGATTCAAAACATCTGAGAAGCAAAAGTAACATAGTTATTTATAAAGCAGTAACAAGAACCAGCCATGTGATCTGAGAAAATAACAGAGGACTCAAGGTATGCAAGGGCCCATGACACCTAGCAGCACCACCAATTGCAGCCTCCTTCCTGGTGAGCAGGAAGTGGGTTAGTGTGCTGTCTGCCCTTGCCAGAGGGCCTCAGTGATTATAGTTAAAACTGATGGGGAAAGCAGGGCACCAAGTGAAGAGCTCCTAAATTAAAAAGATATGAAAAATCAAGGAGAAATGTGCATAAAATATTAAGCACATAATAAACACCATATAAATACTTGTTCTAGTTCATATACATTCTCACTGGCTCCAGCTTCATGGTGGGCATTATATTCAATGTATAGACAGCAAAATTGAGTTTTCAGAAGCTAAAGTGACTTTAGCAAAAGAGAATGAGTGACAGACTTTATTCCATTTAATTCCTGCACCATGTTTTGAGCTTCCCAAAATTCAGGCTTGAATTTTTGGATAATACTATACTTACTCAGAGATTAGAAAAAAGTTCCACAGTGTGAGCTACATTATTTATTTTATTTATTATGTTAGTGCTGGGGATTGAACCTATGACTTCACACAGGCTAGACACCACTGAGCTTGATATCCATCGTCAGCATTGGGTATGAATCAGGTGATTCTTTTAGATTGTCTTTTTTGTTGTTTTGGGAGGTTTTTGTTTATATTTTTATTGTAAAAATACTGTACAGAAGGGTTACAGTTACATGAGTAAGGTAATGAGTACATTTCCTATTGAGAATTGTTACCTTCTCCTTTGTTTTTCCCCTACCATCCCTTCCCTTCCCTCCTCCCTCCCACCCTCCTCCACCCCTGGAAGTTGTAAAGTTTGTTTTCAACATAGTGTCTTGTACATCTCATTGTTGCAATAGGTCAACCTGTATCCTTATTTCAGCATTTTTGTTATTTCAATTCCCCTCCCCAAATTAGAAAACTGAATATACAAGATTCAGAGCACCAGAATCAAATACAGTGAAAACAGGGGTTATACCATGGGGGAAAAACATAAAAAAGAAACAAAAAAATCACACAGTACATTATAAATACATTAGAAACAACAGCAAGAAGGATAAAACCTATTGTGTCTCTTATCTTGGGGTTCATTTCGCTTAGCATCATCTTATATGGTCATATATACATAGCTTTTTAGCTTTTCTGCTTGTCCTAAACATATACTAGTTATTGCAGACAAGGGAAACCATGGGACCTATGTTTCTTTGGGCCTGGATTACTTCACTTAATAAAATTTTTTCCAAGTCTTTCCATTTCCTAACAAATGGGGCAGTGTCATTCTTTCTGACAGAGGCATTGTATTTATATACCCCATTTTCTTGATCTATTCATCTAGTGAGGGGCATCGGTGTTGGTTCCATATCTTAGCTGTGGTAAATAATGCTATGGTAAATAAACATAGTTGTGCTGGTAGCTTTAGAATATCCTTGTTTGTGATCCTTTGGGTAAATGCCTAAAAGTGGGATTGCTGGGTCATAGGGAAGTGTCATGGGTCATGTGGAGTCTTTTGAAGAATCTCCATCTTGCTTTCCAAAGTGGTTGCACAAGTTTATACTCCCAACAACAATGCAGTAAGGTTCCCTTTTGGCCATACCCTCTCCAGCATCTGTTGGTATTAGATTTCTTGATTATAGCCATTCTAACTAGGGTGAGGTAGAATCTCAATGTTGCTTTGATTTGCATTTCTTTTATGGCTAGAAAACTTGAGCATTTCTTCATGTATCTATTGGCCATTCTTATTTCCTCTTCAGAGAAGTTTCTCTTTAAGTCTTTTAGCCCACTTATTAACCAGGCAGTTTCTTTGAGGATTTGTATTTTTAGATTTTGTATGGACTTCTTTACCTACTTAATTGTGTTTTAGTGTTCATTCTCCAGTCCCTTAGTTGGTTAGTTATCATTTCATTGGACTCCTTTTCCTTCTGTTGGGCTTCATTCAGCATTCCTTTTGTGGCCTCCATGGATTCCCCCAGCTTTCTGTTTGTGGATTCCATGAGTGTCTTTATTAATCTTTGTTTATTCTCATCCTACTCATGCAATTCCTGTATTAATTTTTGATTAGCTTCCTCATGCTCATGAAATTCCTGTATTAATCTTTGATTTGCCACATCATGCTCACTAGTTTCTGTACTAGTCTTTGGTTAGCCTCATCACACTCATACGTTTCCTATCACGCTTTGCAGGCTTTCAATCTTTTCATTCAGCATGTTTACCAGTAGTGTTTGTAGAGCATTTTGGTAACTCTCCTCTGGATTATTCATTAACGGCTCTGTTGCCTGATTATCATGAGTAGGAGTTGAGATACCTGGACTTGGCATTTTTCTTGTGTTTCTCCAGCTTGTTCTCACCATTTACATATGAAAGCAAAATGAATTCTGTGCTAGAACACCATTTTAAGGCAAGCATCAACCAGAGCCCTATAGTTGCACAGATTGTTTAATGCAGTCAAAATAAGTACAGATACAATCTAGTTCAACATATACAATCTAGTTGAACAACAAACTACTATGGGACAATGATCTAAGAAAGACAAAGAAGGAGTCAGCAGACCCGAAATTAATAGGTTTAGGGAGAATTGTGGGGAGAAAATAAGATTAGAGGAATGTGGGAGGGAAAAGGAGAGAATTTAACCAAGACCTAAATTCAGAGGAAAAAGATAAACGGAAAGGAGGAGAGAAATAAAGAAAAAGGAAAAATGTAAAAAATAAAAAATTTTAAAATGAACCACTTAAAAATTATATAAGTGTAAAGAAATAATACTACAATTAAAGGAGTTAAGGCTGAAAGTTTGTGAATTGAGTACACACACAATGAAGGATAAGGTCTAATAGTCAAAGACGGGTATATAATCTGGGGATGAACAGAACAGCAATTAAGTCATACAAAAACACAAAACAAAACAAAACAAAAAGACCAAAAGGGCAAAGAGTAAAAAGAATTTTATTTTTATTTTTTATTTTTTTATTGTGAAAATACTGTACAGAGGGGTTACAATTACATGGGCAAGATAATGAGTACATTTCTTATCAAACATTGTAGCCTCTTCCTTTGTTTCCCTTTCCCATCCTGCCCCCCTCTCATAAAAAGAATGAAAAACACACACACACACACATAAAATAAAAATGAGGGAAAAAATAGAAACTTTTTAAAATTTTAAATCAGGTAGAAAAAAGTTTTGAGGTTTTTGTTTGTTTGTTTGTTTTATAGTGGGGATGGATCTTGTGTCTTCCCTGTGTCCATAACCAGTCCCTTGGTGGAGTCTTTGGTTTGCTTGTGATGCTTGATTTTCCTGTGGCTTGATTGGTTTCTTGAATCAGTTTGTTTGAGCAGGCAGAAAGAAGCTCTGCCTTATCAGGGACTTCATGTCCCTCCTCCCAGGCTAGTTCAGTGGGAGGGAGATCTGCTTTGAATATCACAAAAGGAGGAGATGGCTGTTTCCTCTAGCTTTGGAGTTGCTGTGATGGGCTAGGTTGTGGATAGGGTTGAGGCCTGTCAGCAATCAGTAGCTTTTCCCTGAGGTACTAGCTCCTGAGACATTCACACAGCCCAGCCTGGAGCCATTCCCATAATTTATGTTTACTGAGTTTCAATTGTTTTTCTTTTACCCCTCCTGCAGCTGAGTCTGCTGCCTATGCTGCAGTGAGTAGGGGCAGCCTCTGGCTCTGTTTACCCAGTGAAGAAAGTCACTCCTCCATGGGCGGAGGTGCCCCTGCCTGGGAAGGGCAACGTTCACCTGGGTGTAGCTGAGCCCCACAGTCAGGTTCCTTTGACCTGTTGAATGGCTCCTATTGTCTTCTTCCAAGGCCTGAGTTATGTGCTAGCTGCTCTGGCTGGGTCTTGTCAGTATCAAAGATGGAGTTCTTCTCCAGTGGTGAGGGAAAGGCTACCTTCCCACCACTGCTCCATGAGAAGGAGTGAGGATTTCTTGGGGAAACTCATACCTTTCCCTTGGTTTCTGGGCCATCCACAGTCTGCAACTATCTGTGGTCAGCAGGATGAAGATTTCTGCTCCTTGTCAGTTCTTGCAGGTGGTGAGTAGAATCTGCTAGTACACAGCCTCTGGTGCCTTGGTCCCAGGCTCTCTCTGTTGATATGGTGGCCACAGCAGAAGCAGCAGCAGCAGCAGCTTCCGCCACCACTGCTGCCGCTACAGACTTTGGCAGTACTCAAATCTGTCTCCTTAACCAAGCCTCCTGGATATTTCCTCTCTGGCCAAACTCTCTGTACTATGACAGCACACTTGTTGTGATGCTCTAGCCTTGGACTTTTCACTGGAACACTAAAACTGGTTTCTATGCAAGAATTTGCTTAGCCTTGGGCTGGGAAGGTGGCTCAGTGGTAGAGCGCTTGCCTTGCATACATGAGGCCCTTGGTTCGATTCCTCAGCACCACATAAGCAAAAAAGAAAAAATGGAAGTGGCACTGTGGCTCAAGTGATGGAGCGCTAGCCTTGAGCTGAAGAGCTGAGGGACAGCGCCCAGGCCTAGAGTTCAGGCCCCATGACTGGACCAAAAAAAAAAAAAGAAAAGAAAGAATTTGCTTAGCCCCCAGCTTCTCCTCACCATCTCCTTCCAGACCTCCAGACTCCTGTTTTGGATTTTTTGGAGACAAGGTTTCCTTTTGTAGCTTAGGCTAGCTTTGAACTCACTATATATTCCAGACTTGCCTTGAACTCTCCTCTTGCCTCTATGTTTGGGACGCTGGCATTGAAGATGTGCACCAACATTATCACCCTCAATTTTTGATCAAACCCTTTGACCAAGGAGGAAATAATATTTCTCCATCTACTTTTTACTTGAGTCTCTCTATGTAGCCCAGGCTGGTCTCAAACTCAAGATCTTCCTGCCTCAGCCTTAGAAAGGCTGGGATTACAAACATGTACCACCATGTCTGACTCTCCATCTCCTGAAAGAAAGAAAACAAAAGAAAATGAAACAAGAGAAAGAAAGAGAAGAGAGAAAGAGAAAGAGAGAATGTGTGTGTGTGTGAGAGAGAGAGAGAGAAAGAGATCAAGCTTTCAGTTTAAAACAAGTCTCTGGACCACAAGGGTTTGAAGACTCCTGAGGGCTTGAGCATGGAGAAGGTGAGACCTGACAGTAGTCTCATCCCACTGGGACTGGAATGATGTCAGGAAATATGTCACCGAGCTAGTATTTATTACATGTCCTTTCATGCATTATATATTTCCAAAATTGGATATAGCTTTTTTATTATTATCATAAAAGTAATGTGTGTGTAGCATGATACCAACAGTGAAATTTGTGTCCAGGGTTCCAAGATACAATAAATATCACAATGTGAAGTAAAGTAATGGGTAGACCTGCATAATTTGCAAAGGACTTAACTGAAAGTTGATGGTGGTTTGTGATCCTTCATCTAGATCTAAGAAAAAGTGGGGATGAGGAGGAGTGTGGCGAGGGCTAAGATTGGTGAAGAGTTAGAAGTGCTGAGGTATTCTTAGTAAGTATGCCTCTCTCATGGATGCTTCTCTCATCATCTTCAGCCTAGCACAAATCATTTTAAGGACTTAGATATCTTGAGGCTGGCTTCATACCTAGGAATAGTAAAGTGAGCTGTGGCTACACTAGAATCAAGCTGCCTTCCTAGAGTTTGGGACAAGTGTAAAAGGTGTTTCCATTAATCAGATTTAACCTACTTGGGAGGAAAACAAAAACAAAAATAAAAATGTAAAGTTCTTCCCAGGAGTAGCTTTACACCTGTTTGGTGTGCTCACACACCCTTACATACAGAAGTAAACTTCACATTGCTGAAAAAAAAAATCTGTAGGAGGACTTCTGGGGGAAAAAAAAGCAGGAAAGTGTGGGGAGTGAACTGAAGAGGATGCATTGCCTTAATCAAGGAGTCTCAGTTGGAGGATCATAGGCAGGGCTCTATTGAAAGAACCAAGGAAAGCATCAGTAGAAAAGATAATAAACAGGGAAATAATATTCCAGATTCTGTAGACTGTCTCTTATTCACTCCACCCCTTCACACACACACACACACACACACACACACACACACACACACACACACACACACATACACACACTTTTTATATTGACATTTTATTGAGAGTGGGTATGTTCACATAAGCTGATAGCTAGTGTATAGGCTAGTTTGAGCAGTTGGCCTCTTACAGGCTGGCTAGGAACTAACTTCAAAGAAAAGGACATTCATTATTCATGGATCCTGCACTAAGTCTTGGCTGCTCTGGAGCACATGTGACCACATGTGTCTGAGTGACATCTCTGTTGATCTTTCATTGGAACCTTGAGTGAGAATAGGGCTCCATGACTGTTCTTAACAGAATTTCTCATCTGTTCAAAAAGCTATCAGATAAGATGTAAATAAAGACTTTAAAATAACTAAACATTTTATCTTAATAGTAAGTTCTTGGTCCACTGCTTACCTATATACCTTCTATAGTTCTTCTCAGGGGCAAACAATTTTTATTGTCATGATAAAGGCATTTTACAGAGAGGTTATAGAGGTAATGAGTACATTTCTTTTTGGACAATGTCACCCCTCTCTCCCAGTTTTTCCCTCCCATCCCCATCCACAACTGTATAGTTCATTTTCAACATAGTATCTAGCGAGTACCATTGCCTTCTTGAAGATAGATAAGTGCACAAACCAAAAAGAAAAAAAAACAGAACAAAAAAAGCCCCCGTTTCCATTAGGGGAAAATATTTTTGACTTAGCTGTTCTTTCTAGTCATTACTATCACTAAATGGCATGTTAACACTACTGTTTAACAAGTCAAATTCTGACATTATCTGTTTAATTTTTGCTATAATGAATGAAGATTTAACTCTGTTTTATCCATTCTCAGTACCTCTCCCTATATGTGTGTGTGTGTCTGGGTGTCTGTGTGTGTCTGTATGCATATGTGGAAATGTGTATATGTGAATTTGGAGGGATAAGGTCTTGCCATGTTGCCCAAGTTGACTCCAAATTCCTGAACTCAAATCTTCCCAGTTCAGCCTCCTGAGGAGCTTGGATATCAGATGAAATCTATTATGCCTACTCTCTCAATATTATTATATTATTCATACTTACTATTAGACAATTCAGTGAAATATTTCTAAGATGATATAAATGCCCATTACAGAACCAAGTCATATATTATGATAATGTTTCTAAACATTTGCTTATTTGAGTTGTCCGAGAGTTTCCAGGAAAGTTTTCTTTTGGTATTGTCCCCTGCTTTAGTCTTGGCTGGATACTCTGTCTATCCAGTATGACCCCTAGGTAATACTGATCAAGGACATAATTAGAAGAAATTCAAGGATGGTGTATTTGGCATAAACCAGACAGTGGTGAAGTTGATTCTTTTTTTCAATTCTCTGTTCTTTTTAAAAACTGTTATTTTTCTGAGTCTGAATTCATTCTGAGGCTCTACAGACCATGAGCTTCCTCATGGGCTTACTCTGTCAGCTTCTTCCAACTTTTTCTTACTCCTTTAGTTTCCAGAACTGTGTGCAATCTCACTTAACATTTCATTTATTTATTCAATATATATTTTCTAAATTGTTATTATGTGCCAGGCACTGCTCACTGCTTTGAACACCTCAGATATACTAGTGAACAAAGCAGCATTTTGTTGGAGAAGTAGACAATAAATGGGGAAAAACTCAAAAAATATGTAAATTACATATCATTCCATAAGTAATAAATTCCATGGAGAGAAACAGAAAATAAGTTGAATAGGGAAAGTATGGTTAGAAGTAGAAAGCATTTAGGGGAGTCCTCATTGAATAGATAGATGTAATACAGAGGAAGTAGGAATTTTGTCCTATAGTTTGGAAAGAGTATTCCAGAAAGAGGGAATGGTTAACACATGGTTCCCAAACAGGAATGTGTCTCCTAGAGCTGGGGCTAGGAATATAGCTGAATTTTAGAACTCATGTTTCCTGTGTATATGGCCTTATGTTCAGTTCTATTTAGTCCTGCACCTGGAGAGACAGAAGACAAAAATAAAATGTCAGTTTGATGTTTTGAACTTGACGTCTTAGTTTGAAGGATGTGAAACTATAAATAAATAGATTCAAAGGCTACTTACTTTTCTCCTTTCTTTGGAGAACTTTTGAACATTTTATATCTTTTATTCTTTTTACATTTACAGATCTTGCTTATAGCAGGAAACAATACAATAGCTCCTTTATAAATAAAGGAAATTGACAACTATATATGATTCCTTCAATCGGTAAATCATATAATGACAAAGAATATGTCTTGTACACCTTAACTTTATTTGCTTTCTCTAGCCAATATTACTTTTCTCTGCATTTTGTTTTGCCATACATGGTGCCATACAAGGTCCTGGTGATTAATCCCAGGACCTTGCTTATGGTAGGCAAGCACTCTATCACAGAGCTACAGCCCACCTCCTATCATCATCATCAACAACATCAACATATATATATATATATATAGTGTTATTTATGTATATATGTATGTGTTGAAGACAGAATACTGTTTTTACTCATTGATTTTTTTTCAACAAGCATGCATTTATGTTGCATTTAGGTAGCAAATATACAGTGGGAACTAGGTAGTAATCTAGCTACTGGGGCTATAGTATAAAAATCATAGACATATATTTACTTTTATAAATTTGACTTTTAGTGGATGCCAATAAATAGTAAAAACAAGATCAACTAGTAAAATTACCAGGAGCCTTTTAAGTCTTAATAACTAGGCTAAATTCCATTCTAATTGAATTGCAACACATTAGGGAGTTATTTATTAGAATTACTATTGGCAGAAAATAATAGGAATCCAGAATTTCCTCTTACTTTCCATTGACCAGCTCTTAGTCATATGACCACAGCTCAGTTGCAAAAGAAGCTGGGAAATGTAACTACTCTGAATAAAATTGAGCTTAGTTAAGTAAAGAAAGAAGGAACAATGGAAATTGAGGTAGAAACCAATAGTTTCTATCACAGGAATCTGAATTAGGGTTTTTAACCTTTACTCTGACTCAGCCATGTAATCCCAGCATCTGGGAGGTTAAGGAAGAGAATATCATGAATTTGTAACCAGCCTGGGCTACACAGTGAGATTTGTCTTTAAAAATAAACAAACAACTTCAATCACCCATTTAACTCATCTGCTTATTTTCTAGATAAAGAAGAGATCATGTTTTCTAAAGCAGAGATGCCTAAGATATCTGAATTTTTTCCTGAAAATCTCAGGTATGAGAATATATATAGTTTAAAAGTTGATGCATAAATAATTGTCATTCAAGTCACAATTAGAATCATTTATCTGAAGAGCCATTTGGGCCTCTTAGGTACAATGGGAAAATGTCAAGGGGAGTTGCAGGGAGAGTTTGGTCAGTAGCATCTACATTAGTTTTTATTATCTTGTTCTAAAGTTTTAAAAGACATTTTTACTATTGAAGTGTATACTACATGTACTATTTGTCGGTCTTTTTATTTGAACAGTCCTCAAGGAATCAAGGAAAAGATTTTGGGGTTTTTTGACCTTATTATAACAAAAATGAGGACATCTCAGGAAGATATCATCCCTCTGGAATCTTGCCAGTGTGAGGAGATCCTTCAAATGGTCATTTTACCACTGGCCCATCATTTTGTAGCTTTGGAAGAAAACAACAAAGCCTTATATTACTTCCTGGAAATTGCATCTGCTTATCTCATCCTAGGTGATAACTATAGGGTAAGCAGTTTCTACTCAGACCTACTCTACCCTTAGAGAACTTAAGAGACTGCACAGCCAGGAGGGAGTGCACATGGAAATCTCATTGCTCCTTGTTGATTCCTACAGCAACATTCTTTTTTGTTTGTTTTTAATGTGTCTCAGTGTTAGGTAACTGAACAATGCTCAAAGCCCTTGGTTAATTTTTTAAAGCTATGTATAGCCCAATTTATACCCTAAGGAGTCATGAATAATTCAGAAGACATTGAAGCCAAAGAATTACTAGGTGTCATGGTGTGCAATGCATTTGCACTTCCATTCTCACCACAGGAAATCTGCCTGGATTAAGACTCAACAGGCTTCCATCCCCTTGCCTTTTGCACATTTACCATGACTTCAGGAGACCAGGAGATACTGACTTGTCTTACTCTTCAAGTCTGATCTTATCTTGATGTCACATGTTCCAAGGATCATCAATCTCATGATGCCATAGGAGGTTGAAGTATAAATGATGAGAGTTGTTAGGGCCTTACTTTCTTCTGCCTTCTAAAGATGGTGAGGGACGTCTATAAGGAAGGGAGGACTGGGTATCGCCCTAACTCGTTCTAAAAATGGAGCCTGCTTTTCATACAGGTAGAGATGCTATCCGTGGCAGTGTATACTTTATTGGAAATAGGGAGGCTGGGGATAGATTTCTTACAGCAGGAAATTGCCCTGGGAGGAACTTAAGGGGGAAGGCAATTCATGTGATTCCTTCAGTATCTGGGGCCCACAGCCTTTCAGTGGTCTAACTGTACAACTCAATGCTTTTCAACTCCCCATGCTACTTTCAGGCATATTTGTATTTGAATGAAGGAGAAAGGCTTCTGAAAATTCTTAAGAGGGAAAAATCTTGGAGTCAGACTTTTGAGTCTGCCACCTTTCATACCCTCAAAGGTCAGGTAAGAAACCATTAAAGCATAAATCTGCTATTTTCTTTGGGTCTTTCCATAAAGAAGTTATTTTTATACTTTCATGTTGTCACTTTGTCCCCTACCACAAATTCTTGTCCAAGACTGTATAACCTCAAGTCCCTAAACACACAGCCTCCTTACTATCACTTACCAGGAATGGGACAGGTGGACATCTGTATAGTTTGTAACTAGACACCAGTGGCTGACACCTGTAAACCTAGCTACTCAGGAGGCTGAGATCCTGGGGATCCCAGTTTTAAGTCAATCTGGCCATCTCCAAATGGCCAAAAAAAGCAGGCTGGAGGTGTGGCTCAAATAATTCAAGTAATAGAGCACCAGCCACCAGCAAATAAATTGAGTGACTGTGTGAGGACCTGAGTTCAAGCCCCAGAACCAAAAAAAAGAGATTTTTTTTAACAATCTAGACAAATGGACCTGTATAAGTAAACTTTTTCTCAGAGATAGATTTTGATACTGAACTAAGATGCTAAATCCTCATCCCTAGCCTTCATACATACATCCATAAACATTTGGGCCAAGGAGGATTTTGTTTCTGGAACATCCCACAATATTTTGTTGCTGGTATATATTATGTCCAGACTCATTGCTTTTCCTCTCTTCCTCTCTCCCCATAGGTCTGCTTTAATATGGGACACATGGTGCTTGCCAAGAAAATGCTGAGGAAGGCTCTGAAGCTTCTCAATCGAGTCTTCCCTTACAACTTTATCTCCCTGTTTCTCCAAAGCCATGTTGAGAAGAACAGACATTTCCATTTCTTGAATCAGCAGGGCCAAGAGGGCCTACCTCCAGAGTAAGGAACATGCTGGGGAAAGATGAGTGCTTCATCCTATTCCTTAATGAGACATACTTTCACATGATGCAAACCAGCCCTCAAATCCTGGGGCATAAAGACTTCTGTTTAGTTTGATCCCTTTCTAGAGAAGGGGGAGGCAGAAGTCAGTGAAGCTCCCCGGCCAGAGTTGCATTTCACAGGCAGTGATTGTCAAAGGGAGTTCAGATGACCTCAGTATGAGGGTTCCCTTTATAAAGTGAGCCCCAGTGTTCCTTCTACTCATTTAGCCCTAAAACCCTGGCCCTCTGTCATCCACCTTCCAATCACAGCCAGCACTAATGCTCCTAGAACCTCAGTCTCCAGCCCTCTATCATTCAGTGCTAAGATAAAGAGCAGGCCCTCTGCTAAAAACAAAACAAAACAATGATAAGGATGGGCATTACATGGGGATGTCCATTGGCCAAAATTGGACTCTTAAGATTTGTACCTGCCAGTATATACACATTAATAATGAAACAAACAATAATGGTTTTGAAAGTGGAGAGTGGATGGGAAGGTAGATGAAGTGAGACTATTGATTGTTGCTGAAGCTAAGTGTTAAGAACATATAATTCATAATGTGCTGTCGTTTCCATGTCTATATTTGAACTTTTCTAAAAGAAGCTTTTAAAATATCCCACCTATCTCATATATTCTACTTATCTAACAATTCATATCTAGGGAAATGCTTCCTTGTTGGAAGTCTGGAGAGCTGACAACCTCTCACTTGAGGAAGATAAATAGCATTATTTCTACAGTTTCTTCCTAAGGTTGCTAGCATCTGTTCCCTTGAGTAAATTGCTATAGCAATTGTTGCAATCTCAACAACAACAACAAAAAAACCTCCTCCCCAGGGAGTTAGTTTTAAAATGCTCATTTCTAGTTAGCATGGTGGTTCATGCCTGTTATAATCCTAGCTTCTTGGGAGGATAAGATCAGGAAGATTTCTGACTGGCAAAAATTTCATGAGATCTCCACCTAAAAACAAATAAAAGCTGAGCATGATGGTGCATATCTGTCTTCCTAGCTACAGAGGGAAGCATAAATAGGAGTGTGGTCTTGGTTGGTCCAGGCCAAAAAAAAAGACCTTATCTCAAAAATGATCAAAACAGGGCTGGGAAGGTGGCCCAGTGGTAGAGTGCTTGCCTTGCATGCCTGAGGCCCTGGGTTCGATTCCTCAGCACCACATAAGCAGAAAAAGCCAGAAGTGGCACTGTGGCTCAAGTGGTAGTGTGCTAGCCTTGAGCTGAAGAGCTGAGAGACAGTACTCAGGCCCAGAGTTCAGGCCCCCATGACCAGCAAAAAAAAAAAAAAATCAAAACAAACAGGATTGGGGGAATGGCTGAAGTGATACAAAACCCTGAGTCCAATGTGCCCCCCTTATATAAGAATAGATATAATTTCCTTTGTCAAGTGGAGGCCTAGCCTCCAATAGCAATGTGAAATAAAGAAAATAACACATGGAACTGAGGTAAATAGGGTTTGAAACCTGGCACCCTCACATTCTAGCCATGTGACTTTGAGTTAATGACTTCACCCATCTGAGTGTTAATTTTTTTTTCATGGCTGGTCCTGGGGTTTGAACACAGAGTCTGGGCACTGTTGCTGACCGTTTTTGCTCAAGACTAGTGTATCATTTGTGCCAGAGCTCCCCTTCTGGCTGTTTTTTTTGGGGGGGGGAGGTCGGTCATGGGGGTTGAATTCTGGGCTTGGGCGCTGTCCCTCAGCTCTTCAGCTCAAGGCGAGCGCTCCACTGCTTGAGCCACAGCGCCACTTCCAGTTTTCTGGTGGTTTATTGGAGATAAGAGTTTCATGGACTTCCCTGCCTGGGCTGGCTTTGAACCATGATCCTCGGATCTCAGCCTCCTGAGTAGCTAGGATTACAGGCATGAGCCACCGGCGCCCAGCTTCCTGGCTGTTTTTATTTTTTGAGTAGTTAATTGGAGGTAAGAGTCTCACAGACTTTCCTACCTGGACTGGCCTTGAACTGCAATCCTCAGATCTCAGCCTCCTGAGTAACCAGGAGCCACTGGCTTGAGTGTCACTTTCCTGGTGTGTAAAATGAGGTTAGTTATTCCTTCCTTTCCTATAAGGTTCTTATCAGACTGAAATGTGGTAACTGAGCTCAATGTGCCTTTTCAACAGCTTCATTTAATTAGCAATTACATGACACACACAGAGCAGGTGTTTTACCTACCTTAATCATCATGAAGTAGGCATTTTGGTCCTCATTGTAAAATGAAGAAAATATGTTTCATATAATCAAACATGCTTGCCACTAATGGGGGCAGATACAGATTCAAGTCAGGTTCAACTCCTGAAACTACCCTGAGACACTGTGTGTGGTATTCCCTAAACATGCTAGTTATCATAAACTTCTCTCTCTGTGTTTCATTTGTTTTACTTAATCAATAGGAAGAAGAAGTTGGCACAACTTTACCAGGAAACCACTTGCTTCTCCTTGCTATGGCAGATCTATAGCTTAAATTACTTTTTTCATCACAAGTATTATGGCAACCTGGCAGCTCTGATGCAAGTGAACACAGCACTGGAAACTCAAAATGATTTCCAGGTAGGGCATTTTCTCTAGCTGCTCCTAGAATTTTGGAATCTCATTTGGAGAGAAAATTCTAACAAAGTCAACTAGAATTGAAAATTATAAGGATAAAATAAAAGCCTGACTAGGTTGTTTTTGCCAGCAGCTCTTAAAACACTTTGGCCCCCAAATCACTTCACATTCTTAGAAATTACTGAACTTTTGCCAGGCACTAGGAAATCATCAGCCTGTAATTCTAGCTGTTCAGGAGGCTGAGATCTGAGGATTGCAATTTGAAGCAAACTCAAGGCATGAAAGTCCATGAGACTCTTATCTCTAATCAACCACCAAAAGCCCAGAAGTAGACCTTGGCTCAAGTGGTAGAGCACCAACCTTGAGTGAAAAAGCTAAGGGACAGCACTCCGGCCTACATCCAAGCCCCAGTACTGGACCAATTTGGAAGCATTGATGTTTTCAAGTTGCTTTTATCTACCTGAGTCTTATCTGTTAATTGTTATTATAGAACTCAAACTTGGAAATTTAAAATACTTTAAAATAGAAGTAATAGACACATTCCATGTTTTCACTAAAAATCTATTTCTCTAAGCAAAAAAAAAATGTAGTAAAGTATGGCCATCAGTTACATAGATGTCTTGCTTTATAGATGTAAACTAGATCCTTCCACCTACTTCTACTTTGATTCTGTGGCAATATCACACACATTACCACTGGAAAACTGCAATATACTCAGAGAATGAAAGTTATGGAGGGAAGTTTTAAACAATGATTCTCTTTTTTAAAAGATAGAATCAAGCCAGGTGCCAGTGGCTCATGCCTATAATCCTAGCTACTAAGATCTGAGATGACTATTCAGAGCAAGCTGGGACAGGAAAGTCCAGGAGACTTTTATATCCAATTAACCACCAAAAAGCTGAAAGAGGAGTTGTAGCTTAAGTGGTAGAAGATAGCTGTGAATAAAAAAGCCAAATGAATCTATCAAGTCATGGGTCCAAACCTGAGACTGAGAGGACAGCCCAAACAAAAAAGTTTGTGAAAGCCCATCTCAATAGAAAAAGCTGGGTGTGTGGTATGTACCTGTCATCTCAGTTATGGTAGGAAACCTAAATAAGAGGATCATAATCTAGGTGAGCCTAGGCTTCGACCCCCTCCCCACTAAAAAAGCAAGACCCTGTCTCCAAAATAAAGCTTAAAGGAGTGTGGCTTAAGCAGTAGATCATGTGCCTAACAAGTACAAAACACTGAATTCAAATCCTAGTATAACCATAAAAAAATCTTTTATCTCCATTCTTTACCCTCCCTTCTCCTGCAAAAAAAAAAAAGCACCTACCATTTAAACTTTGAAGAGCTCTTCTCAGTTGTCAGCATATATCTGTTAAATACAGGTGACATTTGATTTTTTTACAGAGATTAAAATATTTGTATTTTTATTTAAGAATGGTAGGCAAAAGAAGCCATTGAGGTCATTGGTTGGTTAGATCCGATTTGATTTGTGTATGTCCTGATGCCCAAATGTTTGCTGACAGGAACTGGGTGGTTTTCTCTGCTTCCTGGTTTGGGTTCCACTTCAATGTTTCCCTACTGTCCTCCATTGCTGCCATTTCAGATCGTTAAGGCTTACCTGGACTATTCACTGTACCACCAGCTGACTGGCTATCAGGGCATGTGGTTCAAATATGAAATCATGGCCATGGAACACATCTTGAACCTACCCCTGAAAGGCGAGGGCATTGAAATCGTGGCACATGTGGCTGATACATTGGGCTACATCAAGTTCATAATGGGTCACCTGGACCTGGCCATTGAGTTAGGTAAGGGCTGTCTGGGCATGCAGGGGCTTGAAGACACAGGTCATTACTTCTAATACATACTGGCATTGTTTTCTTTTTAGGCTCTCGAGCCCATAAGATGTGGGCCCTGCTCCGGAATCCCAACAAACACTATATAGTCCTCTGCAGACTTAGCAAATCGCTCTTCTTGAAAAGCAGGTATTTATCTTAAAATATTTTCCAAATTTAGAAAACCATATGATTGCGTGTTCTGGGCTTGGTGGACTCTGGTGATACTGTTGGAAAAGGAGCAAAGACCCTGGAGTAAGATGACATGACTGGTAATTGTCATCTTTTACCTTTGGATACCAGTTTTTGTTTTTCTGTTAAGTCTTTTAACAGAATTCTTGCATATATATCAACCCTCATCTGGTTCTTCTGTCCATGACTGGAGGGGATATTATCTTCCCTATTGTGAAAATCAGGCCTCTAACTCTTAGAGGTACATGGAGAAAAGGAAAGTCTGCTCAGAGAATAGCAGTCAGGAATGGAGGCTCAGGCTATTGTAGCCTGGTTCTGATCACCCAGATTTGGAGGAAATCTAATAAAACCACTTGAGAAAAGAATAATAAAACCACTTGAGAAAAGAAAACAACAACAACAAAAAAAACAACTAACTAGGGAGTTAGGTCCCAGTCTTGAGCAGAGGTCGGGTTTCAGTTTTTATGTCTCTTTGCCATATTTGGCACTGAATTTCTGTGCAGGACCAAGATTAGGCAATGACTGAATTTCATCCTTTTCTCTCCATTGTTTAATCCTACCATCTTTTCTTCCAAAGATACAAGCAACTGATTCAGGTGATGGGGTGGCTGTGGGATCTTTCTGTTGCAGAAGAGCACATCTTTAGCAAGGCATTTTTCTATTTTGTCTGCTTGGATATCCTGCTTTATTCTGGTAAGTGTGGCCTTGGAACTGAGAAGTAAGTGGGAGTGTGGCCCATATGTTGATTTGTTAGAGCCAGGCTTCAAGACTGTCTGTTTTCAGGCTGGATGGTCATATAAGAAAGGGATGCAGAGAACCTGGAGATATGATCTTAGGAGCAAGGATTGTAAGGGAGCCATAAAATAATTAATTAAATCTTGAAGGACTTCTTGGATCTAAGCTGTCAGTTACATTGTCAGATGTTCATATATGTAATCATCACTGGCACTAACTTAGTATTTAATTTTTATTTGTTTTGTTGTTTTTTTTGGGGGGGGGCAGTCATGGGGCCTGAACTCTGGGCCTGGGCGCTGTCCCTCAGCTCTTCAGCTCAAGGCTAGCACTCTACCACTTGTGCCACAGCACCACTTCCGGCTTTTTTCTTTTTGCTTATGTGGTGCTGAGGAATTGAACCCAGGGCCTCTGGCATGCAATGCAAGCACTCTACCACTGAGCCACCTTCCCAGCCCCATAGTATTTAATTTTTAAGGAATATACTTAGGAATTTCATGCTTTACAATGAAGTGTTGGATTGCTAACCATGAGAGCTGTTGATGATTTGGAAAACAAAGTTCTTTCCTGCCAAGCTTTAAATGACAGGTTGACAGTCCTGAGTGTCCACATCAGACCAGAGAATACCATCAGAGGGCTATTTTCTACCCTGATTATTTTTCCAGTATTAGGTCTTGAATTAAGGGCCTCATATTTGCTAGGCAAATACTTCACCTCTTGAGCCATACCTCCAGTCACACGTGGTTTTGAAAGAGGAAGTACGGGTGGAAATATGGAGAAGTTCCAGGCTATTCTAGGGTGTGCTCTGCATTTGAACTAGAAAAGTATGGCTTAACCTCCACCCCTGCCTAGTGTGCCTTTATGAAATTATGTTATAGAACCATAACAATCCATAATGTAATCCAGATTCAGCAAGGACAGGGAAATACAGTCAAATGGTTGTTGCAATCAATGGAACCCTCTAGATGCATAAAGTGATCAGAGACTACTGACTCTCATTGATGGAAAAGTCTATTGGGAGCATCTAGATAAGAAAGATGATTCCTCTTCTCCCCAAACACCCCTACACATGCGTACCAGCAATGATTTCATGTTTCTCTATTATTTAGGTTTTGTTTATAGGACATTTGAAGAATGTTTAGAGTTTATATGCCAAAATGAAGACAACAGAATCCTCAAGTTCCAAAATGGACTTCTCCTGGGACTTTATTCCTGCATAGCAGTCTGGTAATAATGTGCTATTGATCACTCAATGAGAACAGTTCTCTTACATGTTTTATATGAAAGCAAAAGTACTCACAAACTATATCTGAGATCTCTTAAAGGTATTAGGAAATATTTACCTGAGAAATCTCCTAGTTCTTCACCCTCAGCAAGTGCAGAAAAGTTGTCGTATATGATATAATACTTATTTATATTCTCATCATATGGGATGATAAGAAAAGATTATAGGACAAAAACCACCACCCCAGGGTAGGGGAAAAGTATGGATTTGTTACAGATGGGTGATCATGGAGGTGAAGATCTCAGATTCTTAGTGCCATCAATGAAGAACTGAATATAAAGAGGCAAAGCAAGAACTTTAATAGAGAAAGTCCACAATTAAGGGAAACAGCAGATTCAAGCTAGATGGCTCAAGAGCAAATATGTGGTTAAGAAAGTTTCAGTTTTTAGGATTTGGAGATTATTTGGAGTGTTTGGGGGAATTCATGGTAATGGCAGACAGCTGATCTTAGAGAAATGAAGGGTCATGATGAGGAAGATTTTTGGCAGAGATCAGTGCATGTACAAAATTGCCAACCTATGGTTTCAATTATATGAGATGCAGTGTATATGCATGAAGTCTGAAGTAGGAGTTTGTTGTACTGTCAGCCCAAGGATGCAAAGGGTTCCACTATGCAGGTGCTTTGGTTTGGTTAGAACTGGCTGGAAGTTTTTCTGTTCCTAGAAAGAAATCTTACCTGAAAACTGACAACTCATAACCCCTAGGGAGAAATGGCCATGAGAAGTACTGGGGAGGAGATAGGACTTGGTGTCTGTTAGGGCCTGACTGGGATGTTGTTTTTATCATTCTTCCCCTATAGCCAACCAGCCTCTGAGTCCTATCTGTGGATTTTGCTAAACCCAAAGAGAAACTATTTGGGGTGGGGATGTAGATTACAAGTATACTCATTATAGACTTTTTTTTCTTCTTGTATACATTGTGTACATCGTATTAATTGTCACAAGTAGTCTAGAGATGACTGTCATATACAGGAGGATATGCATAGGTTATGTGTAAATGTTGATTGTTCTCTCTCCTCTATGATGGTACAGGTATGCTAGACTTCAGGAATGGGACAACTTTTACAAATTTTCTAACAGAGCTAAAGCCCTAGTGCCAAGAAGAACCCCAACAGTTCTTTACTATGAAGGAATCATTAGGTACATGGAGGGGCAAGTTCTTCACCTTCAGAAGCAAATTGAAGAGCAATCTGAGAATGCCCAGGACAGTGGGGTTGAGCTGCTTAAGGTGAGGCCTGGTTTCAATTTTTCCAGAATAAATTCCTACCTTAGTGGCTTTCCATTTTCTCCTCCTCCCCCTCCTCCTCTTCCTCCTCCTACTCCTCTTCCTTCTCCCTCCTTCCCTCCTTTTCCTCTCCTCTTCCTGTTTGTTTTTGAGGTCTCACACTAGGTTTGAATTCTCAATTCTTTTACCTCCACCTCGCAATTGCTGGGATTACAGGTCTGCACGATACCCAGTACCTTCCTAGACTGTTTCTTTTAGATGAAAACATTTCTACATGTTTGTAATAGAAGGTGATTTGGTTTTTTGGAGTTTTTTGTTTTTGTTTTTTGCCAGTCCTGGGGCTTGAACCCAGGGCCTGGGCTCTGTCCCTGAGCTACTCTATGCTCACAGCTAGCACTCTACCAGTTGAGCCACGGCACTACTTCTGGCTTTTTCTGAGTAGTTTATTGGAGATGAGTCTCACCGACTTTGCTGCCCAGGCTGCCGTTGAACCATAACCTTCAGATCTCAGCCTCCTGATTAGCCCCAGCAGGAAAGTCCTTGAAACCCTTTATTAGTCAGGATATTTTTTATCTTAATATTCTCTGCATCTCTCTCTCTTTCCCTCTCTAGAACTTAGAGCGTCTTGTGGCTCAAAACACCACTGGCCCTGTTTTCTACCCAAGACTCTACCACCTGATGGCCTATGTCTGCATATTAATGGGAGATGGGGAAAACTGTGACCTCTTTCTGAACACAGCCTTGCAGCTCTGTGAAAGACAGGGTAATATGCTGGAGAAATGCTGGCTGAATATGAGCAAGGTGTGTATCAGCTGTTAAGCTGCCACAGGATTCTCACCCTTCTAAGAAAGGCCCAGAAGGCTACGTTCTAGTTAGGTCACTCTTAATTAGTCCATTTGGACTGCTATCACAAAATACCCAGACTGTGAAATTTATATATAATAGACAGTTACTGCTCACAGTTTTAGTGGTGCTAGAGAAGCCTGTTTTTCAATGATGGTGCCTCTTGTTGTGGTCTTGCTTGGCAAAATGTAGAAGAGGGAAATATGTTCCATATACTCCCCTCCCCACACACACTGGAACTAGGACTGGAAGTCAAGTGCATTGTCCCTTAGCTTTCTTGCTTAAGGCTGCCTTAGAGACAAAAATTTTGCTAGCCAAGGTAAACAGACTACAGGAAGAGAGCCTTGAAACTGTATGGATAGAGGATAGTTATGAGTGAGCTCCCACCTGTGCAAAGCCAAGACTTTCTTCTCATATAAAGGCCAGTTTCACTGATCCAAGTCAAAGAGTGCTCACTAACCCTTTGTTCCCTATAACCCTCTCAAGGAATGGTGGTACTCGAGTTCTGAGTTAACATCAGACCAATGGCTGCACACTGTCTTGAGTCTCCCGACCTGGGACAAAATTGCATCAGGCAAGATAAGCATTCAAGATGTTCAAAAGAACAAATTCTTGATGAGAGTTAACATCCTGGACAATCCTTTCTAACATTTTGTGAAAGAAAACAAAACCTGGTAAGAGCCATCCCTTTACCACAAAGCCTTCATGATCTTTCTGCAGGTTTCATGGGTGCTTCCATACCAGATACTGTTTGTTACTTCTTTCTAGAGAGTCAAAAATGGTTAGACATCATCCCTCTTCGCTTTCTCTAACTTTATACAAATTGCCTTTACCTTTGTTGGATGTTGCTATATCCTGTTTTGTTGAGCCTGTGAGAAATTGTATCACATGGGAAAATATTAATATCAAGGTGGTTTGATGTCTTGTATTATGACAGACATGTTCCTAATTAATGATTAAAATGTTTATTTTTAAATGTCTAGCTGTTGTCTAGAGGTAGCATAATATTTTAAGTAGCAAACTTTCTGTTCCTCATCTCTAAGGATGAGATTGGAAAAGATTCATTTTTGCTGGCTTTTGAAGCCAGGATGCTTTTGTCGTACTAGCCCCTTTAACCAAAAACATAAAATATCTTTGGAAATAAAACTTTAATTGAAGTATTAATACTTTTGACAAATTATTTGCCTATCTATTTAGTACTGGGATCAAACCCAGGGCAATGTATATATTAGCATAAACACTGCCACTGAGCTACAGCCTTAGCTTAAAATGTATTTAGTAGTTAAGACACAATAGAATTCATCTTTATTTCCCAGAGATTAAGGGATGTGTGTGTGTGTGAGAGAGAGTAGTTTTTCCTCCTGATAATTTGAGTTCTATAAAGGAAGTGCAGCAAAACTATATGGTAGAAGGAGGTTAGCCACCAGATGCTTAGCAGCCTGGCATGCTGGGAAGGGCAATACACTATGAAATCAGTATATCAGGCTCATACTACATACTGGTGGCTCATACCTGTAATCCTAGCTACTCAGGAGACTGAGATCTGGGGGTAGAGATTAGAAGCCAGTCTGGGCAGGTTAATTTAAGAGACTTTTATCTCCAATCACCAAAATCAAAACACCAAAAGGGCTGGGTTAAACCTTCCCCAATGACCTCTTCAGAACAATGGCCCAGAAGATAAGATAATGGGAAGGTTTTCTTCTTTATACAAAGTGAAGGTCACTCCTTTCTCAGCGCTCTCTAAGTAGGAGTGGTGGTAGGCAAATGTTGGATGAGTGGATAGGTCCAAAGAATGGGTGTGCTCACAAGACAAGCTAGAGCCATGCTTGCCCAGTAGAAAAGAAATATTTGACCGACAGAACTCAGAACCTGAGGCTCACTAGGCACAAGCTACACTGTACACACACACACACACACACACACACACACACACACACACACACACACACATATACACCAGTGCCAGCTTTGGTCCCTGCTACCAGAGAAAGGGGAACCTGGAAGGGCATCCATGTAAATTACTAGTATTCTACCAGGTGAAGTTCTCCAGGAAGAAAGGAGCTGGGGGTATTTTCAGCTATCTGTCAAACGTTTGCTCTCTAGGACTTCAAATGCCGTTTTCACATGTTATTGGCTTCTGACCAAGCCAAAGCAAAGGCTAAGCAGGAGTGGAGAATATAGAAAGGACAGGGCAGGTGCTTATCAGATGTATGATGGCATAATTCCATGAGAAAAGATGTTGATCATGTGTGTGATATATTTATGACAGCCAAGAAAGGGTATCAACCAAAGTATCCATTGAGGAATGAATGGATAAAGAAAATGTGGCATTGTATACACATTAAAATGCCATTCATCCACAAAAAGGAACAGAATCCTTTCCTTTGCAGCAACACAGATGGAACTGGAGACCATTATGTTAAGGAAAATAACTGAGGCACAGAAAGATAAGTACTGTATGCTCTCATTTTATTTCTAGAAGCTTAAAAAAATTATCTCTGTTGGGTGCTTGTGGCTCAGCCTGGTAATCCTAGCTACTCGGGAAGCTCAGATCTGAAGCATTTAGAAGCTAGTCCAGGCAGACAAATCCAAGACTATTATCCCCAGTTAACCTGAAAAAAGCCTAAATTGGAGGTGTGGCTCAAGTGGTAGAGAGCCAGCTGTTATTGAAAAATCCAACAGAGAGTATGAAGGCCTGAATTCAAGCTCCAGTATTCACACACACACACACACACACACACACACACACACACACACACTTTTATCTCATATAGGAAGAGATAACAAAATGTTACCATAGGCTAAGAAACTGTAGGGAGAGAGTCACTGGAGAGAGGATGGGCTGTACAGAGATACTGTTGGGTAGGACACAGGCGAACATTGGTAACTATGGTTAAGATAAACAAGAAGCATTAGAAAACTAGATTGCACATTCCCTATGTTCAAATTCACATATATCAGGTCTGATGACAGGAACCATGAACTTGGCTTCTGGTCCTATTGTCCAGTTATGTGGCCTTGAGCAAATCTTACATCAGTTTCCTTCTCTCTAATCTAAGCAAACTGTGTTTAGGGAAGCTGTAGGTGTATCTACTACAGGCCAGCAGATGGCAGCACTGGTCTGTTGTGCTACAGGCCCCGGAACCTTTTCTGGTCAAGCTTTTCCCAGCCCTTCTCTTCACAACTTCAGCCTCACACTTACACCCCCACTCTACATCCTCTTTAACTTCCCCAGGACCTACAGGAAGCTTACCGCAGGCATAGTTAGGAATATCTTGGGCAGAATTACCTTTAGGAGAAGGAAATAATAAATAATGCATGAAGAAAGAGAGAGGAATAGAAAAAGGATCTGTTGTATCGTTTTTCTTTAGTCATTCTTGAACTCCTCCTACACCTGTGAATTCCTCAAGGGCAGAGGTGCTCTCCTCCTGTCTCCAGCACTAAGCCCAGAGCTGAACATGCAGTAAATGTTCTAAAAGTATGTGTGAATTAATGACTATATTTAAGAACATTTTCATTTGATCATTTCAAGTTAATTCTTACAGACAGCCTTGGAATAAGGACCCCTTGTGAAGAACAAGAATGACTTCACATCCATGTATGAGCCAGGTTCTACCCCGTGGTTACAGTGATGAACAAGAGGCCAAGGACTAGTAGCTCATACCCGTAATCCTAGGTACTCAGGAGTTTGGGATCTGAGGATTTCTGTTGCAATTCCAGCCAGTAAATAACCAGTAAAAGGCCAGAAATGGAGCGCCAGCCTTGAGTGAAAATGCCAAATGAGACCAAGAGGCCCTTAGATTAAGCCCAGTACTGCAAGCTTCAAAAAAAGAAAAAGAAAAGAAAAGAGGAAAAAAAGAAGAAAGGGAAAGATAGAAAGAAAGGCAAAGAAAGTAATGAACAAGAAACCAGAGCCCACATATCAATTAAAGATGTGGACCTGAGACTTCCCTGGATTGGATGGAGTTGCTACCTTGGTGTCCTGGGGTAGGGGAGGGGGGGAGGGCAGAATCTGTTTCCTTTTTGTTGGTCCCATGGGGATAATAATAGTATCTTCATTAGACAGGTGTGGGTGAGTGCAGGTTAAGCACTTAGACTTCTATCTATGGGACAAACAGGCAATTAGGCTTCAGCGTGGTCTGGCACACATTGTATTGTGGCTGTAGAAGCCTGGCTGAGAACAGGGCTATGACTCAGACAGGTGATGCTGGGGAAGTTTTGGAGCCCTGGAGAGCCAGAAAAGATTTCTTGAGGAACCCCATATAGTGAAAGTGTGTAGTAAGGCCAGCACCACCTGAGCCTTGGGAGCAAGCTGCCTCAGGGGTTGAGACTCATCTTGCTCACAGTAGGCCTATACGGAAGGAGAACATGGGCCATATTTGTGAGTTAGAAAGACCCATCAATCTCAGGGCCCTGCACATGCTAACCAGGTGCTGTACCACTGAGCTAAATCACCAGCCCCAGGACAACCTGTTGCGTCCAGGTTGCAGGACCACCACCAAGAAGACCACTGAGAGTCAGACTTTACAGCTGTTTTAAGGTTTTATTTAGACAGGCTGAAGCTCGGGCCTCGTCCTACACTCCAACACAGCAGAGCCTAGGAGGAGAGCCCCGAGCTAAAGATTTGCAGGGCTTATAAAGGCACACAACCAACCAGGTGTTTGGATTACCACCACGTGTTGCTCTGCTAGACAGAATTTGCTGATCTTAATAAACAAGCAACAAGAGGTCACTGCCTCAAGACTTTAACCCTTCAAACCTACTTTTTATGAAGAATGGATGGCAAGTGAGCTGGAGGTAATTAATATTGTAGGTTTGGAATTCACTGGGCTGCTTATCATGACTCCTCTCTCTAGTCCCCCAGCCACTCATTCTGCCAATGCTCTTGAACCCTTTCCTAATTTTTTCTCCAATTCCTCTTCTCTATTTCCACTGCTGCTGAAACTCTCCAATAGCCACATATTGTATCCCAATGGCAGATTTCCAGTACCAATTGAAGTGACAGAATAAGCTTGCTAAAATTCAAATCCCTATTTAGTTTTTTAATACTTTTTCTTGTGAAAATACTGTACAGAGGGGTTACAATTACATGGCAAGATAATGAGTTCATTTCTTATCAAGCATTGTAGCCTCCTCCTTTGTTCAAATCCCTATTTGTTACATTACTGAAAATCCTATTTGTCTTCACAACAGTCCAATTTTTTTATTTTTTATTTTTATTTTTTTGCTCAAACTCTGGGCCTGGGTGCTCTCCCTGAGCTCCTTATGCTTTACCACTTGAGTCACAATGCCACTTCCTGCTTTTTCTTTTTTTCTTCTTCTTCTTTTTTTTTTGGGGGGGGGAGAGGGTCCGGTCATGGGGCCTGACTCTGGGCCTGGATGCTGTCCCTCAGCTCTTCAGCTCAAGGCTAGCGCTCTACCAGTTGAGCCACTGCGCCACTTCCGGCTTTTTTTCTTTTTGCTTATGTGGTGCTGAGGAATCGAACCCAGGGCCTCAGGCATGCAAGGCAAGCACTCTACCACTGAGCCACCCTCCCAGCGCCCAACTTCCTGCTTTTTCTGTGAGAAATGTTGATAGGATAAATTAGACTTTGCCTGAGAACCACACAGACATCCAGGTACAGAGAACAAAGAAAGGTTTATTGCCAGGGTGGGCAAGACCCCTTCTCACAAGGGAAAAGTGAGAAGAAGCGCCAGCTATTGTCTGAGACTTATATAACCTAGGAGGCTTAGGAGGGGCTAGAAGGGGCGAGGAAGTGGAGACCCTGGTGTGGATGTGAAGGCCAGGGGCTGCATCATGGTGGACTAGGATTTATAGCTACTGTCCAAATAGTAGATAAGGGGTCCTGCAGCTGACCAGACCTGAAGGTCACTCTAAGGGGCTCTTGTTGCTCTTCTATGGTAGTAGCTGCCCCAGAGAAGTGCCATCCCAAGGTAAAGGGGGTTGGAGGCTGATTATTCACTGCCTTTACTAAATGGGCCTAGTGTTGCCTAGGAAGGGAGTATGCTAAGCTGTGGAGAGGGGAAGGAGTATACTGAGCAATGGGAAGGGAGCTCATTTTGCTAACAAATGTCTCATGACCTTTCCTGCCCCAGCTATTTTTGATCCTCAGATCTTAGTCTCCTGATTAGCTAAGATTATATGTGTGAGCCAACAC